AAGGCTAATACCAGAGGAGACAAGTTGGCGTGACGATTTCCCAGGTATTGACGTCGTCTTTCCCGCATGTGTGAATGTGTTTGGTGCCAGCGTCATTGACACCCCCCACGTCATAACGCCCCGCTTTGGCAATTGTTGAATGGGATTGGGTTAATAACAAACGTAGCCTGCTTACCGGTAGTACAGACAGAATAAATAGAATATATGTGTGGCACATACCTTGGTATTTTACTGCATTTGTAGAAATAAAAAACTTCGTGTACGCACTAGACTCCTGAACGGCATTTTGAAAATCCAACTTTGCTTGCTGGAGAAACTTTTCTTCCACACGTTTCGTGCAACATGTTTGACTGTTCGTGCACACTTTTAGACTGTTCCCTGAAAGTTTCGAGAGACAGACAACTTTTAGCATAAATTTCAAGCACTGGTCGTTAGCCTGTGCCGGGAATGGCAAAAACTTAGTCGATGTTGGCAAGATTCCTGTATTTTACCTGAAATCGGCGTGTCCGGGATGAGGTTGGATGCCCCCAAATTCCCGTGAACGTAAGCTTGTTGGACATTGTAGCACGAGTGCACTTCAGCTTCTGAAAATGTCAACAAAACACACAAAATTACAGCTACGACACTCCAGGGGTAAAACATGGCTACTGTGCTACAAGTTCTAGTGTAGTAAATGACAACTGGGTGCGAATATCGCTCCTAAAATTCAAGTCGATGACAGATGAAGTCCAACTGGAGTTACGGAAGTTACCAAATGTTTGTATCTCACAGGCAAATGGAATCCTGGAATCTGATTGGTTCGCCTGTTAATCGATGTCCTTATATGGTATATTGTTTACCATTTTTTCCGAGTAAACAACAAATAAAGGGGACGGGACACAGACGAAATCACACCTATTTCAGACAACTGACGTAACCTCGCTCAATGAAAACACGTCGTCATGCTCTGAGCGTCTTTGTTCCAGTTGTAATTAGGATGGAATGTGGTGGCGCCCTGACTTGAATTAAGATACATGTAATCGCAAATCGCGCCGTCCATTTTATTGTAAAAGCACTCATGTATTTGTTATTCTCACTAGGCACCGTTGCGGCGACATACATTCTTATGTCGGTAAACTTCTAAGTTCTTCGCCATGCTGGTATCCGGTAAATTCCAAGTGAATCATCATTATATTTTAACACGGGTTCGTGTTCGTCACCGGGGATTTTTTATTTGCTGATATGGCGCAGTTTTAGTGCACAGGTCAATAAACTGGACTTCGGTGAAGAACAGATTGATAACGTAATTTACGTGTAATAATAATCTTTATGGATTAGATACGGCTTTTGCGGGCCGGGGTCGTGCGTCAGAAATGCACGAGCTTGCGATAAAGGTTTTCTATATCCCTTATAGGTGTAATTACAATTTTACCATGGCATGACCTCAAACTCACGACGTAATCTAGAATGACTCGTTTTGTTTTGAATGACGAAAGCCGGGCACTGGGCCAGGCGTGATACTGGAAATTATTGCCCTGATGCCCTAGCGTTACGGGGCCGGGCAATACGAGTTATATAACAATTACCAACTTTAAACGGGACCCAGTGTAAAGTATGTATTAAATAGAATGCAACTGCAGCACGGAGATATAACTATATTTTATACATCCATGCACAGTCCCTCAACACGAACTGTGACCCATGTATAAGTGAAAAACAGAATTTAACGAATCTGTGAATAAAATGAAGAGCTCCGTGTCATACGCAATAACTAGAAAATGGGTATATATCCACCTGAGGGCCAATATCAAGAGTTCATTAATATAGGATACAAAACTTAATATCACAATAAGTGTACACTTCCACCACTTCCCGGATAGTCCAATAGGCATGGTCCACACAAATAAAATACGGTAAAACTCGAAAGGAATTTAAGATCGTGCTGCGTTTAACTTTCGATGTTGCCTCTTATATAGGCATACATTGAATGATTTTATTTAATTACTGCTTCAACATAATCTGCTAATAGCTAATCTGTTATTTCCCCCAATTCAAGATGTGGCTAATTTTAAAAGAAAGTATACTTACAATGAGATTGTTGATACTTTAGCCAAATTGAGACTTTGTTAATTCATGTATTGAGCCAAACCCCCTAAAATGGAATCGCATAGCTATTCCAAATTGTTTTCCAGATTTCCCCCATGTTAAAGCTTTCGTACGAGATGAACTTTATACACACTGTATACACGTATTTGATCGGGCATGAGATAACTAGTGTCACGTGATCGGATTCAGCATTATTCGTTGGAATTATTTTCGCTTACAAGACAAATTAAACCACTATGAATGAAAATTTGCATTGTTTCCTTCACAAAACCAGTGAATTTAAAACCTGTAGAATATCCCTACAACACTAACATTTATTAACATTTATCCAAGTGAATATTTCACCTATTAGTGATAGCTAAAATACGAATTTATTTGTCGAATAATCGCGGCCGTAGCTATCATCACACAAGAAAATAGGAAATGAAAAGAAACAAATTTATAATCAAACTTCCACAAATGGTTTGCCGTATCTGTTTATTTTTCACTCTCTCTCTGTCTTTACCTCAACCTCAGAGCCTCAACATATCGCGAATCGGTATTAAACATACGCCCTCGTTGTTGGCATTTAGAATGAAAGATGGCAGAAAGCTCCAAAGCAGACTACAGTACGTCTTCAACGTGTTGAAAATTTATTATTGTTATATTGTGTTGAAGATATATGTCAGTGGTCACCAATAACCCATGAATCTACAAAAAACGGTATAATATATATATTGGTGGTCTGGTGCGTGGTTCGGATTAGGTTTCCGCTGCGGTTCCTACCCGGAAGTTCATCTCAGGTCAACAATGATATTGTATGGAAATTTATATTCGCTGAACATAGTAGGGTCAACAGAAAGATGTGATTGTCCGTGAGGTGGGGCGGGTGTCTTTTTCCCTTGTCAACAGGAACTTTAATTCTCTCTTATATAGTTCTATACTCACCGGGTAAAGCTTTGACCTTTCGTGCATGATTATTTTTTACACGACATGTTGCATAGTTTTCAAAAATTGAACCCAAAACATGTTTGCAGACTTGTGGTGTGTATAAGCTTATATTAAAGCATGTAATTATTACCAGCATTTCTCAATCCAATTTTAATCTTTTTTATGGTTTGCATATCTTATACTGAATTATGATATATTTAATGTTTGAATGTTTTTTTAAAGGTAACAACATTTGCATTTATATAACAATTATTTTTGAATGACGTTTTGAGCTGACTAGCATGGATGTTTTGAAACCCACACTGATTAATATCAATGGTAGGATTTACCGCAAGAATGCTGTGGAAATGCCTCAATACAGACCAGATGAAGATGAGGATTTATTCAGTGAGTTGTTTAATTTTTTGCGTTCAGTTCAACTAGAATTGGACGACTACAGTCAGTCATGTAACATGAGTATCACCGACTTGACGGTGTCTTGACTAGGTTTGATTAATCTTTGGTTCACACCAAATAAGGAACATTTAGAATATCAAAAAAAGTGCAAATTATGTTTTGATTGAATGTACATAAACTTTATACGGAATGTTAAATTCTATTTGTGTGTGTGTGCTAGATTTAGAGTAATTAATAATCTTTCTTTCATTAATATTTTAATCAGTTGCTGATGATGACATGTATATGGATGAATCATGTGACGTATTACCCATTGAAGAAACTAGTCGCGGATACCGACTAGCCTTTGAAATTCCCACTGCCTTCTTCAGCTTTATCATTGGAAAGAAAGGACAAACCAAACAAAGAATAGAAAGAGAGACTAGGACACAAATACAGATACCAAAGATGGGAAAGGATGGAGATATAGGTAAGATAAAGGATTTGTTATAAGATAAAGGTATGCTACTGGTGTGATATGCAAATAAGGATTCTAATTTGAATATTTGCGAGTATTAATGCAATTGAGTAAGTCTGTGAAAGAACTAGTTAGTGTTTGTCATATTTTTGCTTGAGTCTTTTCTTTTTCACAAAGCATGTATTACCTGTTTCTTGTCTTTTTAAGTTGGGTAGTCACCTTGTTCCATTCTATTCACTCACTCAATCAAATCTTTCCAAGTGTCATCTATGATTGAATTACTCACCCATGGAATGCACTATGGAATCTTCACATTCACAGTGCATGATTAGATAAAGTTGCATTTCTTATCTATTACTTCCTTGATGAGATCTACTTTAATCTAATGAGCTAATTTGCATATTTTTATGATACTATGCTTTTCAACCTTCCAATATCTTCCGACACACGGTAACCTTTTCTAACTTTTCCTAATTTGCTTTTCCTTGGGATACAGTGGAATATATTTTCACTGGATTTCATTTTTTTTATGACTACAAAAGCCATGCAAGCCATCCAGAAAAACAAATTCCACATAATTTTATTAGTCCCCGTTCGGACGAAGTCCAAAAACTGGGACTTATAATTCGGTCTCCGTGCGTCCGTGTGTCTGTGCGTCCGTGCGTCCGTCCAGAGTCATATCTCAGAATCCCTTGGACCGATTCCGTTCATTCTTTGCATGTGTTTAGTACTTTACTAGTACTGTGGGACATATGAAGGTGGTGTGAGTCACGTCGCAAAGCATCATGGGAACAAAAAGCGTGATCGGTTCATTTCACTCGCGGCCGCCATTGTGTACACATCGCTTTGTTGACTTCGCTTTGCTTGTTCAGGTGCTATCTTCTCAGTTTTCGTCCAATTTTGACTGCATCCTCCCTTTTTGTTAATGGTAAGTTTTCGTTTTTCCATATTTAGTGACGTTTGTATTTATATGTAGTATAGTATCGTTGTTTTTACCAATGCCACCGATCATCATTTACATTTGCTCACTGATTTAGAAGGTTGATGTGGCTGGATATCGGTAACAGTCTGCTTTGAACATGGTATCAAATATATTGTTTTCAGATCAGTTATGGGAATTAAAAATCTATTTGGTGAATTACTTGGCGCTGCTAGGCCAGTTGGACTGCAAGAAAAAAAACTTTCACTAGATGCATACGTTATTCTACACATAAAGGATGTTGTGGTTGTGCCTCAGAGATAGTGATTGACATACCAACAGATAGGTAAATATTATGCATGATTGTTGTTTTTTATTTCACCAGAAAATATACAATAAATAATATACACAATAATAATAATAGTAATTCTAGTGAGGACCACAGATATAGTTCATACAAGTAAAAAACCGGTGTGGAACTTACTGAGTTTATACCGGTAGATATCTAAAATATTTAGTTTTTTGAATTTTGAATTTTAGTTATCTGGAGTAGTAGAATTTTGTCAAGAAAGGTTTTGTAGGTGTTACCCCATATTTCTATACAGTAAGTAATATGTTGTAAAAAGAGAATTGTAAAGCAGGATAAGAATAGATCGTGAGATAAACTGATGAATTTTATACAAAATGGCAATTTTAGGTGAAATAGTTTCACAAATTTGTTCTATGTGTTCTTTCCAATTAAGGTACTTTGTAGATAAGACGCCCTCTATAGTTTTAAATAGCTCGTTTAGTGGCATCTGAAAATTTACAGAAATGTTTCAATTTAGCAAGTTTGTAAACATCTGTATATTGTCAACCATCAATTCCTGGGACTAGCATAAAACGAGCGATTGAATTAGAATTAAAGATGTGGACATTTATAAGGCAAAATGTAAAAAACTAAATGTTTTAGGTTAAGCTGTGTAATGTTTTGAATTAATTTTTATACCTAGTGAAATAGAATGCATTTTGGCATAGTCCAACTACAGAGTTTATAAGGCAGATGCATGTGTTGTGACAAGCTATAACTGAAAGCTGTATGATCATAGTTGTATCAGTTGATGACATTGTTGCAGTTTTGAACTAAACAGTTGCAAATTAACTGTTATGTTTTAATTTAACATCTTCTATTTATTTTCTAGGCTATTCCAAGGACAGGGTTCTATCTGAATTGAAATGTGGCTATCCCGACACTTACATAGCTGATTTTAGGTAAACTGTGAACACATTCAAATATCATCTAGTGTTTGATATGAAGACCAGGAACATCTTAAATCCATATGATGATTCCTCTCGCAATGACATGCATTATGCTGGAGAGTATCCTTTCAGTTTAATAATGACTCAACTTGACATAAAGAACAATACGCTTAGATTCTATTATTATAAATCTGTCATTGTATCACCATAAGTAACTGTTTAGCTGCAATATTGCAGTGTTGCACAGGTAAACTAAAGCCTACCATGTTTAAATATGTAAAAAATAAAAGTTGTAACCTGAAAACAATAAATATTGCTAATTTATATGATTCTGAGCATT